AGCCAACGTTGGGCCAACGGTAGTACCCAACCATCTTTTTAGTAGTTTGCCGACGTCGGGCCAGTAACAAATCGTGACGTTATACCAACGTCCGTAGTCAGACTGAATATTTACGACGGCTTACCGCAACGTTGGGAAGACATCGGAAAATCGACAAATATATTCATACATTGGGCCAACGTGAAATTCCAATGTTGGTTTGACGTTACCTCTCCGACCAAATTTTGCAACCAAACACCAACGTCGTACCAACGTCAGATATCCGACCCCGACGCTTGCCAACGTTTACCAACGTTGGGCCAACGTCGCTTTGCTAACTGGGACCGATCAAAGCACATAATTTGTGTTTTGAAGGTCAGCAAACTTTCGATCGATATTTTATTGTTGCTTCTTATAGGATTTTACCAGAAACTTATGAAATAAGGTGAACCAATTAAAATGAATAATGCAGCGATCAATAGAAATATATTGCCAATTTATCACATGTCACTGTCAAACAAAAACAAACGTAATTATACTAAAATCCGTGTTCGGTCAGCTGCGTTTCATTGATATGAAATCGATGCGTGGTCCTGTTGAACCATGACTTGCATATTTAAGGACAGTCGCATACAGTGATAAATCAAATGAATAAGTGATGCCTATAATTTAAAATTACAATTTACAATCATATATCTCATCAAGAATAATATCCTTAAACATGGGCTTCGATGGACCATGAATTGCATATTTAAGGAAATTTATCGCATACAGTGACATACAAAATGAATAAGTATACCTATAATTTAAAATTACAATTTACAATCATAATTATTTCATCAAAAATTATTTTTCTTAAACATAGACTTCTGCTAATCCTTCCTTTCAAGATAACCTGACGATAGGGCCACTGACCTGAAATGTTTTCTTTAAGTTTTGAAAAAGCAAACAATTATTATGTTGACGCCTTGCAGTTAAAACATATTCAGAAAGATGGAAAGAGTAACAACTCAATGTTTACAGATCAACATAGGCCCTATACTACTGTCAAATTTACATAATAATTCTGGTGGCTTGTAATTTTCTGTATTCCAGATGATGTGTTAATAAAAGCGAAGAGCTGGGCTTCACATTACAGTATTAGGCCTATTTAATTAGGCAAAAATGTCTGTTTGCGCTCCTCCACCTACCCCTAACTCATTGAAAAAACAGGGGCGGAAAAACAAAAAAAAACAAAAACTTGAAAATTTGAAGTGACTATTTTATATGTGAGCTAGGGTTTAGTATTACTTCACATTATTTAACGATAGGCTTATTAAAAAAAATTAACACATGACTGTTGTGTTATGTATTTTTGACAGATTTCGAACAGATTCCAATGATCTCTAATATAATTTTGATTATTATTATAATATATATTATATAATATCATTAAATAGAGATGAGATGTCAACACACTGGGATCATGGAATAGCCAACTCCGAATGCGCCACCACTCGATCGTCGTGATCGGTCATCGTGTCAGAAGTTGATTGATCAGTCAGTCATTGACTGATGATCGAGTAATCAGCAAAAGTTTACTAAACTAATGTTAAAAAAAAGTAAGTAGGCATAGGTCTTGTTTATACTGTGGTTTAAGATGTAATTGGTAACACTTTTTAAGATTAGTAGTAGGACAGTTACTACTACTAGGGGTTCAGTGGCTAGGCTAGGCCTTCTGTGTCTGATGGGAGTTGGGCTTAGCCTAGGGCTAGGCCCTATGCTAGTCTAGCCTAGCAGCCAAGGAAGTAAGTAGGGCTAGGCCTACGCTAGGACTTATATAGCTAGAGTAGTAACAGGCCTAGGCCTAGTAGTAGAAATAGGGTTCCGGGTCGTTTCGGCCCGTTTCAAGCCGAAAATTTCCATGCTAGGACTAGGTAGGGTGATAAACTAATAATGATTTTATATGGCCTTTACCTAATACTTGGTATTTAGGTTCCTAAAATGTGATTGTGAATATGTATTAATCGCCCTTGATTAGGTACCTGACAAGAAAATTCAAACTTTATGAAACAGATTGACTCATTCATCAAAAAATGTAGAAAAATAAATGCAATTTAATGGTATAAAAATTGTGAAAATCCATCAACCCACTGATTTTCTATGATTTTTTAAGTTAATTCATTTAATTAAAAAGTCGGAATAGGCATTTTAATGTTAAACAAAAGAAAAGTGTGACAAAATAGGTTAAAATTTGTCCTAACCTTGGATCTTAAATACGGTATATATTTATTCCTCCTGGGTATCTGAGATACATTCCTTTCATAAACTAGCAAGTGGAGAATTTAGGTTGCTGACAGAGAGTGAATGGAGGTGCCAGGGAGGGGGGTAGCGGAGGGGAATTTATTTGAAATCAAATAATTGGAATATTGTTTGTCAATAGCCTTCATGAATCTAATTAATTAACATTTGCTCAGGTTTATGACATAATTTGGCATCAAGGATTGAATGGGTGTGGAAAGGGGAGGGGGTATTGAGCTGATTCTGTTTTCAAAAGTTCCCCCTCCCCCACAACCAGCATATTGTTGGAGAGCACTTTTCTTATAGAATTTGATTTTTTTACTCAGTTAGCACTAATTGTACCTTGTATTTTTATGACAATAAAAGATCTGTATCCATATCTGTATCTTCATTAATCAGATCTGGAGTGGGTGGGGGAAGCAAAAAAAAACACATTAATCTACCAGCCTAGGTACCACCGCACGCTCTGATTGGCCACATTACAAAATGACCACCCAAGGTAATAATGTTCATAGGCCGATTTTTTTAATGAACTTAGAATCATCAAAAATCACTATGATCTAACATATTTAGAAACAAGAGCATAATTACAAGTAACAAATAGTATATAATGTACCAATATTACATGCTATATCTACTATTTATAATATATTTGGTGTAAAAATTCTAGGTATTTTTCATTCGATCCGTGGTCAGCGTTCGCACAGCTAAAAGCCTATTCTTTAACACTACACAGAATAACACCACGAAGTGACTACAAAATGAAGTTGGTAACCTGTGGCCAAATTGCACTTTCCCATGCACCAATTTTTCTAAATCTTGCGTCAAATGATGCAATATAACATACTAATTATGGACCTTATTATCAAAATAATGGACCCATTTTCGTTTAGTGAAAAATAAGCGTGTTTTACGATCGTCAATTTTCGAATGTTGCAAACCTCGATATAACGTCGGACAAAAAAAATGGAAAATTAACCCAGCTGTAGAATAACTTCCGCTTGACATTTTGAGTTCAAAACTTCAGCAGTAACCAATCAAAAGCGCAATTTTACGAATTAATTACTAACAGCTATGCTGGGCTGCCACTGTCTCGAGTCACAAATTTACACCGACAGCAAAAGTGGGCGTGGCAACGTAACTTGCAGGTACCTACCTTGATGCCTCAAGTAGCATTAAATAATTCTGTATCTAGCACACTTTATTCAAAATTTGAATACAAGGTCCACAAATAACACATGCTTGGCACGCAGTTCCAGATCTCACAAATGAAAAACGTAAACAGTGTAATAATGCAACTGATGCCTTAAATTTATATAATTAAGGAAGATTGTTTCCCACAGCATTGTTGTTTTCCAGTATTTTGCCTTTTAATCTACATATATATATATATATATATATATATATTTAATATCCTGGCCCTGAAACTTCCCCTGTCCAATAACTGCATTAATTTCCTATCTGGATTCAATATAATTTCTAATCATTCGTTTTCACAAAAAAGACGGAGAGACAGGAGAGAGATCCAAAAAGAGTAAATCAACTGTCAAGTGGATCACCTAAAAAAAATACAGACAACAGACACAAAAAATATATATATATATATATATATATGAATGTAAATATCAAAATCGGCCTTTAAAATAATCGTTCAAGTCTTTATAAAAATATTTAAAATTTAAAATAAGTTCATAAATTTAATAATCTACTGTATATTCCATACTGTATATTCCAAAAGTAGGCCTATCTATAGTAGGCCTGCTGTATGTGAAAATGCAACAAAATGAAGATCATTGTATTAGTAGTCTAGCTGCATGCTTCACAATTTGTTATTTTAACACGGTGGATGCAGGGCCATGGCTTACGGTGACGACTACATGAAGGCGAATGTAGTACTGTAATAACCACATGTACGTACAGTATGACGATGACTAAACGAAGGTATATTCATGATAGCCGACTAGCTTGTAGTGTGCCCTTTGGGCGCAAACTGACGACAAAGTAGACCTAATGACAGCTGACCGTCGGGTACATAAGGACAACATTATGATATTGAATGCAGTTTGATTGAACGTTAAAACTTTGCCTAAATTTAATAGAAAAATAGCGTAGACGAACCTATTGCCTTTGCATCTCACTTTGCATAAAAAACATATTTGTGATTGATCTTTCAACAATCATTAAAGCAAAGTGCTTCTGTTAGTTAAATATTCTGTAATATTGTTTGGCGTATGACCTATAGTCAAAGTGCCACAATTTTCCGCACGATGTAATAGCAGGAATTTAAAAGCTAGACTGGGTGCTAAGCCGATAAACCCCTTGCTAAGTCTACCTTTGGTACAGCCACGAGATTGCGACCGGACTGAACACTTTTTGCCACCGGGAACCAGTAAATATTGGCATTATTGAGTGACCTTTTTCCTGTTGTCTTTTAGAGCACAGTGCGATGTTGGTAAATGGTAGTTCAAGTCCAGAAGAATTTTCTGTAAAATAGGTAGCGCAAGTGTCTCATAGTGGCTGCGGCACCCCCCTGTTCGTATGCAAGTGGCTCTCCACGATAGCCTCGTTGCATGAATACAGGCCTTCCCTACACTACAACCTGAGTCAATACAAACGACTCATTGGTTATCGTAGTCAAAAGAAACATTTTATTTTATAGTTCTTTAGTTTGTCCAATAGTTTAAATATTTCATGCAGAAATTGCAACAAAATTACTTGGTGAGATTATTTAAGATGTGTGTGTACCTCTAAAGCTTCAGTGATCACCTTAGTCAGCACTGGATGTGGTGAGTCCTGCGAGCAATTGGACTAGGCCCCCTAGAATGCCTCTCAAAACTCTTCATATTTTTAGTCTGAATGGAAATTTAAGTCAAATCAACCTTAGTCTCATGAATCTATGAATCATTCAAAATGTATACGTTGTTATAAAAAGTATCTTCTATGCCAAATTCATCACATTTTAGACGATGTAGTACACCACTTTTGACTAGCATAGCTCTTTAACCAATGTTTACTAATTCATGCCCACTCGGCGAAATCGCTACGACATCATCTTTGGTGACTAATTTGGTTTATTGAGAAAAGTCAGATTGAAAACTTAACCTAAATTAGACACTACAAACTGTCATTGAGTGCCCTAATGGCAAAAGGATAAAAAGATGAATCTGGATCTAGTGCTTGTTGTACTGTAGGGCTCAATAACACTGCCCATTTCTCGTTATGTTTGAATACGTATGTCCGGGGTGAGATTGATCATAAATAAGTGATTTTATGTATCAGTTAACATTGATTTAGTTACCGTATTAGATTTTCAAGTTTACAACTGGTCAAATAAATGAATGAAAAGAAATGAATAGTGAGTTTTGATTACAGAATGCTGGCCTTCAAAGCGCAGCCGTAATTTCCTGGGTTCAATTCCTCTCATGCTAACAGGATGGTTTCTTGTAATATTAAGCCACTAATAAGAAGATTAAGTTTGGAACAATTATTTCAGCTAATGTATGCAATACCATATACAGTGTAAATTAAAATGTCACCATGAATTGTATTTTTCTATCACCTATGTAGTGGCCTTATGACAGACAACAAGACAATTTAAAAGATGATGTCACAAGACTCAGGACTTGCAATGCCGATCACAGAAATGAGCAATCATGTCACAGAATGCATTGATGTTGCTACGCCTCAAGGTACCGGGTTTTTTAGATGAAATATACAATTAATTTGACTTTTTTAATACTAAGATCTCCAAGCCCTATAAAATGTGTTTCTACTAAAACCCAGTGCAAAAAGATAGGAAAAAAGTATGCAAGGAAAGAAAACAAAAATCAAATCCGAACATAATCATTGGCTTTTTCAGCTACTGCTGGAAAAAGCCACTAATATATATATGTTTTTAATCAAAAAATGAAATGTAAGTAAACTGTAAGTCGATAAATGCTCTTGGATTTTAGATTATAATTGCAGTAACAATTAAGTTTAAACTGAAAATATTCCAACGTGCATGTTTCGTTTGTTGATACAGGTGCGTAGGATATCACTTTTTCAAAGGGTTTACTTTTATAAATATTAAATTGATACAGTAGATGTCTGCTTTAATTAAGGACCAACTCCAATTAAAGACCACTTTTCTGTGGTCCAAAATATGCAAATGTCTTTTTTTCTTTCTAATTTCTAATTTAAAGACAAAAGCTGTTAAGGATCATGGAAATCCTGGTCCCGAAAGTGGTCTTTAATTGGAGGGAGACGTGTACATTTTCTAACACCAACATAATTTGTACATTAACACTTTTTTTACTACCAACATATAGTACTTTCCAATGTAGTTGCATTTTTTATCCCTATATTTAATATTTCAACTGGATGGAAGATTTAAAAATTAATCAAATGACATTGAAAGACAAAAGTACTGTAATAGATGCTTTGTGCTGTTTGTGTTTAAGGTGTTTTGTCCAAATACACCATGTGTTATGTTAAGAACAATAGAGGGATTTAGCTATGTTTGTGTGAGAAATAAATGGCTAGGAAAGGCAATACGATTGTTCAAAATAGTGTTTATTTACTTATCCTAGCGTTCTCCTTGGATTGTATGCATTGAAATTTGACTGATCTTTCATAAACCTTAGGTGGCCCTAACATCCCAGCGTGGTTCGCGGGTCAAAGACGATCATGCAGACCTAACCATACCATACTGTAGATGTGCAGGGGTCTAGATTAACGTTTGTCGAAACATCTCAATGTTTGCGGCCAGTATCCTTTACAGCATTTAGCATGTTTGCGGCCAGAATCCTTTACAGTAGCAAAACATTAAGACAAAATTCTTAAGTTTAATTTCCAATCAATTTGGTATAGTTTACTGGGAATTATGATGATTTTTACAGCAATAAACAATGGAAGGCCGCGATAGAAATCTTTGTGTAAAACACAGCTGTGTCAGTGGATTGTTTATATCCAGTCCCCAAGTTAGGTCACATGACGCCCATCGCTAAATCCCTCTAATAATATGAACTCTCATTCTGTGAGATTAAATTAGTTTGCAAATTAATTAAACTTCAACTTTTCTTTGTTCACTCTTTTTAATGGTGACTGTTGACATTAGTACAATAGAAACTAATTAAATTGATAATATTTCTTATCTCGGTTGCCATTTTCTTTTATTATTTCACCTTCCTATATGTCATATTACATTTTTCTTCTCAGTTTTAAAAAGCAGTTATACCTGCAGCTATCAGGCTTTTAAATGAACAACTGTAATTTTTCCTGGATGTGTTTTTTTTTTTTAACTTAATTTATATACTTATGATATTTGTGATTGTTGTTGTAATTTAAGCGAACATTGTATTATGAAATTCCAGTATTGTTTTCAAATAGCAACATTTTTTTAATGATCGTATAATTTTTTTTTCTTATTTAGCAAATAGTTTTGCCAAAAACATCCAGATAGAGGAGAAAAAACAAAATGTTATTGGTGAATGTAAACAGTGTAGTTAAATAGGATGGTTAAATGCTTTACATCTATATAATTAGGAAGATCTTATTTTTGGAGATTTCAAGGCAGCAGTGGCCATAATAAAGAAAAAGCTTCTTTTTTTTAAAATTGCCATTTTTTTCGTAGCAGCGAGTGTGCTAATTGGCCAAAACTAAAATTTTATTTGTATTTTAAATCATCATTATTGGCAGGCGGTGGGTTCGCTATTAAACATTAAAAGTCTCAACTTAGTGATTGTTTTTTGTTTTGTTTTGTGGTTTTGTATATTTTTTTTTCTGTTTTGTAGATATTGTAGAAATGTTAAGTGTCTGTGACAATGAGATGTTGAATGGTTGGCAACGTTTTAAAGTAAGAAGCTAATATAGTTATTTATTTAATATATTTTTAATATCTAATACTTTACAAATAAAAACTTAAGAGTATTAAAACACCATTTCAGTTATGCATGGATCACCAACACACATAATATAAAATAATTAAAATGAAAGAAAAACCAGTTCACAAACATTACAAATACTGTGTCATTAAAATCATTTTGACAATTTTGCAGCCAACTGGTAACTGAATTAATTTTATAATTAATACTTAAATTTCCTATAAATTTAATATTCATATCTATTCCTACAAGTAATATACTGTATATTCATATCTAAAAAGTTTAATTTCTAAGACACACACCTTAACATACAATGTACATTTACTGCCGCTTTTGAAATTGTGTAATTTTTTAAACCGAGTACACAATTTTCACAAGCAGCGAAACAAATGCTGACCTAGAATCAATTCCAGATCATGTTTCAAATCGTCATTATCCAAAAACTACTGTACTTCCTTCACCAGTTGGTTATTACACAGTTGTTATTGCCCATTAAATTTGTAGCATATCAGTTATTGTCAACTTTTACTGAATCAACCTGAGGATACATACTGCAAACATCTTTTTGACTGTTTTCATGAATGAAAGAAGTTTTAATACAGTTGTTAAGATTTTTTGTAGAAATAAATCTTTAAATTGACAAGTTCGATTTGATTGTGTCTTATTTTAAATTGATACTGATTATTTGATTCATTTATATTCTGTTTTCTTCCTTGATTTTTTTTTTTCAGAGCCTTGCTTCATCAGAAGTTCATGATGATATTATAAAGGTTGCTGATGCTGTGGCAAATGTCTTGAAGGTAAATAAATCCACCATCTTTTTACTATCCTGAAATGATATACAATGCTAGTGGCACTCAAAGGTGGTGTGGTAGTGGTTTACAATCACTGATTAAGCGTGCACTTTTAGGGACATTATGATATAATTCTACTTTTAAAAACACTGAAAGTACACATGCTGACTACTACCACAGATCAAGGTGCTCAAAGAAGAGGATTAAACTCAACATAACTTCCCTTATGTCCTTGGGTAAGGCAAACCATTGCTTCTCCGTACAGTTTTTAACTTTTAGTAGTATATGAGTACAGCATTTGCAAATGTTTACTTGAATGCAGGTCTGTGTTGGATATTAATCTAAAGTACAGGAATTTATCTAAGGAGTGAATGAGCATGCAAGTGAAGGTAGAGCACCGTCTTTCGGATGAAATGTTTAAGCCATTGGTCCTCTGTGCAATTGTGGTCTTGTGCACGGTAAAGAGCGCAGTACACTCTCCGGATAAGAGTAGGCCATTGTCTTCCAGTGTACTGCCCGATTACCACCAGAAGGACCCCACTGGAAATAAGTCTTCTAGATTTTCTTGGGTTATCCTTGGTGTTTTTACTGAATAAATTCATCCATCCATCTGCAGAACAAAAAGCTTCACCAAATATTTTAATGATAAAAAAGCGGTGTTATACACCAAAGATTCCTATAGATATGTTGTATACCTTCTGTTATTGTAATTCCTTACTTATTATGGTATAAATAATCACATGTGGATTTATATATATATTCAAGTCATCAGCAAAAATAATAAAGTATATTAATAACAAACACCATACAAAGTCATATGTGATAGACAGCCCTGTATAAACCTTTCAAAGTACCCCTACACTTAACAAACACTTAATCTGATTTAATACCATCAAAATATGAATTCCTATTGCTCAAGTAGCTCCTGAATCACTTCAGTTAAATTCCATAGTGAAATAGTTTCACAAGTATTAACAAGATCGGTAGTATCAAAGGCCATGTCAAAGGCCATGGAGTATTCCAAATTATATTCCAAGTGTACTTGGTTTTTTTGTTATGAAACTTGGAAAAATATAGGAATGAAAGTCATGAAACCATTGATGAGTAATCTGTGAAATCAGGAAGAAACACATTATTATTTTCTGGTTAATAATTATTAACATAAAATAAATTATATGAGTGAAATACAGTATTGTTTCATTTGTTTACAGCATAAACAAGGAAGTGTGATTCTCAGTGGCTGTGGAACATCGGGAAGAATTGCCTTCTTTTTGGCTGTAAGTTTGTTGTTGTTTATCGCTATTGCCTTCTCCAGAACCTAAAATCAGTATTGCTTTCACCAACAACCTCAGCTGCACTGCTTTTCCTCATCCATAATGGACACCTGGACACTGAATTTTAAAGACCCCTCATGAATTTTATCTTCACAAATTATTAACTAATAAATAATTAATTAACAAAAAAACCTCATCATAATTGCTTTTCTATTTAACAAAGCAAATAGTTTTAAATGCAACAAAAACCACCTAAAAATGCAATATACAAATTACTGATCGATAATATTTGTTAACAGAAAGCATATAAATATAAAATCATACAAAAAAGAAAAAAGACAAGCACCCTTTTCAAGTTAAAATAAAACGTTGTGTAGTGAAGTATTATATTTATTTGTTTACTTGATTTATTGAAAAAAACAAAAAAAACTTTGAAGAAAATGTTGAAGAAAAAGTAGTTTAACAATGTTATCTCAATCCATTCCCGTCCCAACACACACTAAGACAAACGGGTAGAAAATTGAAGTATTTGTGGAGAAGGGTTAAACCTTGTTTAGGCATGAGTGTAATAATATTGTCAGTAATAAAAAGAGCAACACTCCTTTTGGTTTCTGAATATGTTTACAAAACACCTTAAGTCTGGTGACATTGTTTGTATTACTCCTATATTATATACATCTATTGGATAAAGTATAATATAGCTATGGAATAACAAGTTTTCTTTCATAACTATCTGGTGTTTTGTTTTCTTAAAAAGTATCACTTGATAGTTAATTCCTGTTTTTATGTCTTCCCTTTTAGAATCACATACAGTAACTATTATTTTGAATGTATGAATGAATTACATAATGAAATTCCACTTAGAATAATCAGATTATCAAGGTTTTATTTTAACTACAAAATTCTGTGATGTCCTCCTAAATTCCATTTGAACATATTTCCCCTGCCCCTCATCTCCTTCTCATTCTACAGAAATCCCATCCAGGGTTCTATTTTCCTAGTTGTCCCTCCATCTAACCAATTCCATCCTCATTTCTGCATCTCTTCCCAAAATATGTTAAATTGTGTGTTTAATGTTGAAAATCATTCACTTTTTCACTGACTTGTAAATTGACTAAATGCATTCATTCATTCATTCATTCCTGGTGTATTCATAAAACATAGTGGCATAGCAGTATAAAAACATTGAATAGCATATGTACAAAAACTTTATAAATACTTATATAAATTGATATACAAAACTCACACAATGGACAAATTACAAGAAAAGTAGAACCATAAAAACTGCACGCACAAGGAATCAAATAGTTTACATTAAGTTGAAGAGATCATGTATACAAAATTTTCAATAATTAGTTACATACAAAGAAAATAAGATATTATACAGCATTACCATTCTACCTTATTTAAATTGTTACATAAGGGAATCGCATTATTTCCTAATTATATTAAGATAATATATATACAAAGTTAGAAAAATGATTTACATAAAAAATTGGATTGTATCACTCTATGTGTATCTGTTCAATCTTGAACGTTATCCTATCATAAAAGAATTCTTGAATATGGAATTTTATTTTTGATATCTTTTTCAACATAGAGAAAGTTTAATCAGCTTCTGGAGGAACTGGGCTTGGTACCTTGTTTTGAATATCTGATAGCAGGAGGTGACAAGGCTCTCTTCACTTCCCAAGAAGCACCTGAAGATGACCCAGCATCAGGCACAAGAGTGCTTCAGCAGGTGAGAATAATATTAAGCATAATAAAATAATTTCAGGCGATTTTTAACTACTTGAGCGTAATTTTTTGGAGGCGACTGGCGGGAGGGGGCGCTGGTACTTCCACCGCACACCCTGCTAGATACTCCACTGATTATCTTATTGGCTTTGTAGTTCACATGTACAGGTAGTATGTCAAAGGTCAGGAATATCATACAACAGTTGGCGTTTGTCTGTGAATAAATACTATTTGTATTGTGTGACCACTACATTCCAACTGGAAAAATATTTAATTACCACGTATTCGAGTGTAGAATATTCCAAATTCAAATTGTGGGCAAAAAAATGAAAGGTGAAATTGTTAATTAGGCTTGGTACTGCTTCGCCAGGAAAATATTGTAATTTTGTTTTACTGAAAATATACTATGGAGACAATGGTTCTTGATTTTAAGGTGCATGTTGAGTACTGCAACCTGTCTTCACAGCTTGTATAGTTTTAGGCATGCTTTCACATTCAAACTTTCCCTTGAGTCATTGTATGTGTGACCAACTCTAACAAAAACTCCTGTCTAAAAAAAAAATGAAAAATGACATTATAGATCCTTGTAACCTAGAGGTCAAAAGCAAAAAATTGAAGCAAAAATTGTTAAAAAAGATAACAAATGGTGAGGGTATGATAATTTATATTTTTAGTCCAACATGTTTAAGGATGACCAATACATGGGAATTTTAGCTGATTAGAAGACTTTCGTTTTTGACGAAAATTTCCTGTACTTGGTCGGTGAAGTGTGTTAGTTAAATAATTAAATTGCTTGTTTGAATAGATATGATACTTCACCTGAACATAAATGAAGTTTGTCTTCCTTTTAAATTACTTGAGGAGTAAACAACATAAACCCTATATTACACAAATAGCTCATAAAAAACGTAGGATATAACATATGGTAAAAGGATGCCCTATTTAACAAAGGTAATATCAAATGTATATGATTTTTTTAAAGCACTTTGAAGATAGACACATACACAATGACTACCTCATAATTTCTCAAAGTAATAAAGCATGATCTATTTTAGGATTAAATGTTTACATGTAGCACTTAGTAACAATTTAATGTATCAGACATGACCCTTAGCATAATCACCCCACAGTTTTTCAAATTACTCAGTGCCGAATCCAGAAATTTGATAAAGAGGGAACCAAAAAATCTGTTTTTTGGTAAAATTAAGAAGAAAAAGTTTGTTTTTATCAAAGAGAGTCTCTTGTTCACATTAGGTTTAACCTCTGTATTTGTTTTATGAAGATTTGTAATCTTTGCTCTATAAGCTAAGGGCCTGAAGAGAATAATAAAGGATAAATAAAAGCAGACCTAGTGTCTAGAAGATTGAATTAATGTTCTACCCAAACGGAATTACATTTTTTCAACCTTGTTAAGACTAATGAGATCAATAAGTATTTATGATTAGGTATTAATACATTTTGATGGCAATAATGTGTTGTATTTCCACATTTACAGTGAAATTAAGAAGCGTTTATTTGAGTGTCCATTTTAAACCAAAAACAATAAACACCTCCCTCGAAGAAATTCCCCCTCAACTATAAATGCCTGTGCTACGGTATCTACTTCTAATGAAATTTCAAATTAAAACAACAGGTTAATTTTTAGACATTTAGACATTTCACTACAACTGTCCAAATAATGGATCCTTTTATCATTATCATATTATTATTGTTGTTGATTATTATTGTTATTTAATTTTATTCACTTGCTGTTTTTCTACAGGCTTTGGAAGGAAAGAAATGTTCAATTTTGTTTGGAATCACTTGCAGTTTGTCGGTGAGAATAAAATTTGGAAAAGTTTTGGCAAGATGATTCTTTGCTTATGGATGGATGAATAATGTATTACATTTTTTTTCTGCACCACTGTATATTCCAACCTTCGTTAAATGCCTACTACTATTAACATAACATCATCATTCATCTGTCGTTCTGTTCCTCTTTGGAACTCATTGCCTTCATACCGTTTTTCTTCTGTTTGTCAACCTTCCCAATTTAAATCTTTTGTGAATCGGTTTAAATGAGGGATAATTCACTACCTTGAGTTCATTCTTATATTCATGGATTTTTTTTATTCAAAATTTCATAAAAACAGTAACATTAATGCTCGTTCATAAAAAGTGAGATAAAAATTGTATATTATATTAATTTTTAAAGGTATGTAATTACTTATATAATTTGCACAAGTAAAGTAATTATCATTGTCACTAACATCAATAATATACATTGTTATTTAAATATTAGAAAAAAATGAAATCAATAATTCCTCAAATACATTGCCATCAATATCAACATTAAAATTGGGATTTTTAAAAGATTGTAATTTACAGTATATTGGATTGCACAAGTTGAACTTATATAAAATAATTATTACATTCAAAATTATTAATTAATTATTATAGTTATTATTACCATGTCAATATCATATTATTTGAAAAGAAAAGGATAAGAAAAGCCAGTATATCGTATTGTAGACAAATCTAAATTGCACATTATTTACATTACCTGAGCAGAAAATATAGAATACTGTACATCAACACGTGACATCACAGAACCATGGACTAGAACTAGAATGAGTGGCTTCATTAGCCTTGTTTGGGGTGAATGTCAATCAAAAAAGAAAAAAATCATTCAATGTATCAATAAATGTATTGCTGACAAATATCACATTGACACATACTGTAGCAAATAATTTAACATCAAACATTTATAACATATCATGTTAAAAATTGAACGTTGAAATACAATCTTTCATGCTTAAATGGGTATTGTTTATGGTTACACAACAACACTACACCGGTGTTGTTGGAGGAAAAGTACTTTTCTAAAAAAATTTGCACCACAATATCTGTAAAATAAATGTTGAAAAAGTTATTCTTTGAAAATGTTCTCTGTCCATCGGTTCAATGCCATAGTAATATATTATATCCTGTTCCTGGTTTTGTAACTCCACACTGACAACTCGCTATATCCCAGACATCCTGGTGCTCAGAGCAATGACTGATATTATTTAGTAACCTATGCTTACGCAAGGCTTCAGTTTTGAATGTTAAAATAAAAACATATAAACGAAAGACAGTTTATTTACTTCAATAACAATTATGTAAAACACAGCTCTATGCAGGGACTCGGTGTCTGTTTCAAGCTAAACTTGCCAAATACATTTGAATTATTTAAATTGGAGGTGTAGAGTTAAATGTTCTCCTAATCTCTATATAAGTCCCAACATCTTAGGAGTAACATTTTGCCCCACCTGATGTGTTATCGTATGAAATAATCAGTATCTTTTCGGATACTAGCAAAAAAAATGTGCAAGTGATTTGGGTGGGAATTGAACCCACGACATCCAGGTATCTAGCCTGATGTCTTAACCACTAGACCACCAAGGTAGGGCAAAACATTACTCCTAACATAACAAATATTAATTAACAAAATCTGCCAAGGTTATATTGATAGAGGATAAAAAATTCATTTAGCCAATATAAAATTGTTGCCTAAAAGACATAATTGGTAATAATACTGTAGTTAAATATTATTGGAAATGAAGAAGTAATTAATACAAATAGTTATTTGCCTCCAATTGAAAATAAGAATTTGAATGAGAACATATTTTTTTGCCAATTAACAGATGCATTAATAAATTCCAATCTTGTATTTTTTAACCAACCCTTAAATTAGCTGCTCATTAGTTTAAGGATTTAAATGTTTGCCAATATAAAAAAGAACTAAAATTTATTTGAATTATAGCCATGTCTTAGAAATTTATAACATAATGTCAAACCAAGCTAATCATTTTTGAGTAACATTCTATTTATGAGTGTCATTGTTCTTAATGTTGGCTTGTTTTTTTTTGTTTTTGTTTTTATTTCATTCAATCTGTATTGTTTCTGATTTTATTCTGAGATTGTTAATATAATTATTGATAATAATATTAATTAGTTTTATATTAAAAAATACACATTTCCCCCTTTTGAATGACCAGTTTTTCAAGGTTTCACTCGCCAGTATTTCTTTAAACCATGGATGTTTTCAATCTTTATATTGCAGGCTGCCTTCATCGCAGGCCAACTAGATTACTGTTTAGACAAACTCGACCTTGTGACACCAGTACTCTTAGGTTTTAATCCAGTTATTAATATAAAGAATGTGGAAATTGAAAATTGGGACAAGACATTTCTCCAAGGTAATTTATATCTACATTTCTTTAAATTAGACCAAAGCAATAGCAAAAAATACTTTTAATTCGATTCTTTAACAGTTTAATTCTTTGCTTCAGTTGCTGAAAAACTTCAAAAAATACAGGGAACCGGAAATGGTTTTATTATAAATCCAATTTTAGGGGTAAGTATCTTCACTGCAATTAGCATTCTAAGCATGTAATTAAAAATAATTTGAGGTTTTCTATTAGACATTTAACATTTGGAGGGTCCTACTCGACATACAGTTTTTTTAGAATGTTTGCAGCCATTTAGACCTTAATGTTTGGTCAAAATGGTTCCAAACGTTCTAAACAAAAACTGTATTCATGCTTTCAGAAACTTAAGTTGAATAAACATTTAACAAAACTATGCAACAGCACTAATTGAAACTACATTTCTTCCACAATTTCATTTTTCATTCTTTCCTCAGCCAGAAGCTATTACTGGATCTTCCAGGATGAAGGGTGGTAGCGCAACAAAAATAGTTCTTGAATTAGTCTTTCTCACTGCCATTCAGAAGGTGCTTATCAACACATCTGCTTGTCAACCTTACATCAAATGCCTGCATGCCATGCAGACGACAGTATGCAAGGCTACATATAAAGTTAAAGGTGACATTGCAGCAGTAGTGACTATGGCAGGAGAAAGGTACATGAGCATTTAAAAGATTTGCTTAATGAAGTAATTGTTTTCAGATCCATGGGCCTAGGTTTAAATCCACTATCATTCATCATCACCACCTTCATCAGCACCAACATAATTAACATCATCATCACCATCACCAATATCATAATCTCATTGTCATCATCAGATTTCACAAATTTGTCAACAAAATTACAATTTTTTATATGTAATATTCTTTCTTATTATAATGTAGCTCTATCCTTATGTAATTTAATATTATATTGTATAGTTTTGTTTCCATACTTAGTATCTTAATTTTCTAATAATTAATTTACTCTTACTATACTTATAATTCTTGTTGGGTATATCAGTATTTTACGTCATTTTGTTCATATTGTCCTGTTTGGTGATCCTTGTTTATATTCTGTACGTATTGTTATGAAAGCATTTTAGCTTTGTTCTACCGCAGTATATTTGTCATTTTTATATTTTAATACATAATTAGATAATTCTTCTGTAAAGGAGTTTGCAGAATATTTCAATTTAATCTTCTTTTTTCTCTTTTTGAAATGGACAGTCTTAATGCAGAGGGACATGTTTACTATATTGGTGCTGGAATCTCTGGAATCCTTGGGCTAATCGATGCCTCTGAATGCCCACCAACATACAGTTCTGGTGAGTATCTATGCAACCTTCATCTAATTTAGGCCTAAGTTTATATGGTATAAATTAAGTAATGATGATAAATGCAACTTTGCGCCTTTTACATGTGATTATGAAATGTTGTCGACTTAAAAAGATTAATTTCTGTGTTTGTGAATTCATCCCATTAGAGTTTGATGACATCAGAGGATTTCTTCTTGGTGGCTATGAATCTTTCAGGAACAAAGAAGGAAACTTGTCAAATAAAGTGAGTTTCTTGAATTATACACAAACCTCATATCACTTGAAGTCAAGTAAACTAATTATTGGCTGTCGTAGAGTTGGGCTGGGCCCTTAAGAGCATGTGCCAGCCACATTAGTGTCATCCAACTATTCTTGTTATTGTTTCAAGACTATTATCATCATATTTCTGCAGTATTAAGTAAAACCATGATCAAATATGAATTTACATACCGGTAGTTCTACTTTTTTATTCTTGTGTTACAGTTTAATTTTTATTTGTCGACAGGGAGAAGCATATTACATAAGCCTTGATCACTTTTCATGCAAAATTCAGCCGAGTCTTTCAGTCAATGATACTGTTATTTTCATTTTACATTGTAAGTCTGTACATTGTACTAATTAAAATTGTTGGCCTTGAATCAAATTCAAACTAAAAAAAAGTTAATTAAAAGATTGAAAATAATTATTGATGATATCGATCGAGTCCTTGTGGGAATCAAACTCAATTAATACCTATCCCCATATTCCCAGCTGCCTTTGACGATTGCAGACTCAGGCTCAGTCTGTTAATGCTGTTCTTGATAATTGACAGTTTATACTGTATATGTGGGAGTCCTTTATCAGAATCAGTGAGGTGTGGGAGCACACTCTTTTCACCCACTTTCAACTAACAAAATAACCATCTAAATTGTTGTAAAATATTGGTCTGAATTCCATGATTGTCAGTTTTGGAAGATCAACTAGGAATCTGCATCTAATATAAATGCTATCTAGCCTGCCACAAGATTATGAAACACTATAAACAAAATACTGAACACAACTTCACCAGAAGAATCGTTCCTCAGTTAATACCTATTGCTGTACTTGGTCTCGTTCTAACACATGCTTTGCTTGATGTTCCTAACTTTTGCTAGTGACAATTTGTTTTGTTTATATTGCAGCTGATGCCAGTACTCTGAAAGTATTCCTTGCAATTTATAAGAAATTAAAAACTATGTGTAAAGTGTCAGTAATATGTGTAGATGAACCTTTTCAGGGAACTAAATATCAGGTAGGTTGTGTCTATTATAAAAGTTATGCTTTCAGCAACTTAATTATAAAATTAAAGTTTGGGTAGTTTGCTCTTGGTAAATATAATGACAAAAAAAAAATTTAACATATTTGCGGCAAGGTTACAACCTCTGGTACAAGTGTGTTGCAGATGCTAGTCTTACCGTTAATAAACCGCTTTACATCTAACAGGATTTTGTACGCCAACATTTCTCCAGTGCTGTGATAGTGAGCCTTCCATGGGACCAAATCTTACCCACTTTTCAAAATGGTAATAACACAGACCAAAAAGAAGATAAAGTTCTGAAGGCTGCCCTCTATGGTGGAGTTGAGCTATCTGTCAAATTGATATTGAATGCCATCAGCACCGGTGCACATGTGCTCAAAGGCAAGGTGTATAAGCATTTCATGGTTGACATGAAGCTCAGGTAATTATGGTATTATATTTATAAATTATTGATATTAACATCACATTAATAATATTATTTACTGTTTGTCAATGAGATGATAATATTATTATTAATGATTCATTAATTATAAAGGTTGAGGTAGTCCGGAGTGCCCATTCCTCTTTTGTAACCGTTCAAACTAGACTGTGCAATACTTTGAGGGGATCGCCACTCCTCCCCACAGTGAGTCTGTTTACCTTCCCAGCATATGCTGGTACCCATTTATACACTTAATTAGAGAGAGACAAACGCAGGTAAAGTTCCTTTGCCCAAGAACACAAGTGACTTGCACAGCAAGAGTTTTGAATCCCCGACAATGAGGTTGAGAAGCCAACCCTCAACCGCTGCGCCAGGCGCTTCTATTACTATAATGTTGATATTTACTGTTCTTGATTTTCAAGAGAGTGTAAAGTTTACTCTTTTCTTCCTATTTTTCATGCTCTGTTGTTATAGCAATAGTAAGTTGTTGAACAGAGGAATAGGTATCGTGGAGAAGCTGAGTCAATGCAGTAGAGAGGTTGCTGAGGAGTCTGTTTTGAAGTCCATTTATGAAATAGACAAGCTACCTGCAGACATACGCAAGGCTAAGGTCTCGCAACACATACAGCGTGCTAATGCTGGTACCAAGGTGAATACCTTTTTTTCCCCCTTTTTTTTTCAAATGGGGCTGTTGTGCCCACTTGCCATCCCGGTTTAAATTCCTTTGAAACACATTTTAAACATGTAATAAATTTAATGCAATGCAATGATTATTTAAGGATGGATGGGTTAAGCATATTGTATAAGTTATGTGAAGTAGAATGTGGTTCTAATTACTATTTATATTGCCATTATTTAAAAACTGCATCTATATTATATATTTTTTACTTAATAAAACTGATCTATTTTATTTCAGCTAGTGCCAATTGCATTGGTGTTGGCAAACAAGAACTGCACTGTTCTAGAAGCAAAGAGTGCCCTCAACTCATCAAAACAAATCCGTACGGCTATTAATCAGACTTACAATCCTCTCTTGTAAGCTTGTATAAAGGAAAAAAATGATAAAGAATAATTCAATTAAAATTCAGGTATTGTGAAGACCTAAAATCAGGGAAGTCAAACTTGAGTGTAGTTGGTCCATTTCAATCACAGATGTATAAAATATTATTTCCCCTAGTCTCTCATAGCTAGTGTATGTTAAGTATATTTGTACTCTGATAAGTATAATGAACAATTTGATAAGATTAAAATGTTAGAATTTTAGTTATATTTTCATTATCCAAGCAAATTTTAATCATGCTTAGTGCCATTTTATGACAGTATTCATTATTTAATACCAAATGAATACTCTTAATATATTTTAAGATTTTGTTTAGAATTTTAGAAAAATGGAAAAATCCTTGCAATATTATATAAAATGGTAATAATAATACTGTATATAGTTATAATAGAAAATATTAACCTGCAAAGAAGTAACATAATTATTAAGGGCAAGTAACTTGTGAGGAGTGCCATAGTTTTTTTTCCCAAGTATTGTGTTTCTGCGGGTTACCGAAGTAGAAGAACCCTCTCAGCGTCAGTACAGTATGTTGGTTATGTCTGGAGAGCACTATATAGTGCCCTGGTTCTCAGCTTCCAGAGTACAATCCAAAACGTACCGGGAGTTTCAAAATTTGGACTGTGAGATATCAGAAATTATTTTAAAAATGTGTTGATTGCAAACCAAACCTGACTAATAACACCATTTTATTTTCCGAATTTCCATTAGCTTTGAATCTCAAACCAGTGGCTTACCCCTAGCTAAGGCTCCTGTGGCACTGTGACATTTTAAGTGGTTACAAATGGCCCCATTCTGAAAAAAGAAGCAGGGCTATAAGTGAATCAGTCTGGCTTTCAGAAATTCAGAATGTAAAGCCAGTAAAAACACTTTGTAACCAAAATGTAGTATGTAGTGAAAAAGGCCTAAATTACAGCATTAATGTGTGATAGTATAGTAAGTTAACCAAGTTTTTATTGATACACATGTAAATTGTGTTTTTTTGTAGTCTGTTATATATAGTAATGTATCCTCAGTAGCTAATGTGCACTTTAAGTAATACCATTGTCATAGCGCCACTGAACATTGCATTCTGCCGTGGATATTGGCCTTTACAAATCATTGATTGATTGATTGATTGATTGATTGATTGATTGATTGAAAAAGCATGTGTATAAGAATTAATATAGGTTCATTTTTTCAGGGATGATTATGTGATTTGTTATTGTGCTATAGCTTTATGATGATGATGATGATAATCTTAAAATATAATGCATGATGATGTACTTATAATTATTACGAAGATAATGGTGCAAATTATCTTGTATGATGAGTATTATGAACATTTCAGCAATTATTATTATAAAATTATATTTTAATTAAACATCTGGTGCAATAATTATACTATATTTGTGATTTAAAATAAATATATATACTATGGAACAATGATTAGACATGTCTTAATTGAAGTTGTATTTTCCCATGATAAAACTAATGATATGTAGCATCATAGAAGTAGCATACAATTTCGTATAATCAGTAGCATCCTCATGTACATTCAGTAGCATCATTTCATTCGCGTGGCGCTTTTATTCCATGAAAAATAATGATCTGTAGCATCATTACTCTCGTTGATAATAAGTAGCCCTACACTATCGCTCCTCGCATATGCTCAATAGCCACGTGCACGTCCAGTAGTATCATTTCAAATGCCTTTGAACAGTATCGCCACACTTCCACGTATATGTTCCGTAGCATCGTATTTATAATAAGTATACTGTACTAACTCTTCCCATCTATTATCGTTTCTAATGACTATTATTCACGATCGTTGGCGTCATACACGATTTGTTAAAATAGCAACAGTACACCTCTACATAATTATCGGTAGCATCATATTGCTGAAAATGATTTATGATTTTTAGCATCATAGATTTCTTGTTAAAAGTATCATGCTATCCTCACATGATCAGTAGCATAATATACTCCTCAGATCGGTGGCGTCATAAACTTGTTGATAATACAAGTAGCATACACTCGTTATGATCTGCCCTTATGGCCTTGTTTACAAAGATTATTTGTACTTGAATTTTCTCTTAAATAAACTCTTAAAGTATACAGTATAGGCTACTCTCGATTTAAACTGTGCTTCTTGTTTAGTCTACTTTTTTGTAAAATATTTATCATTTACAGTAGTTTGTGTTTCGTTTATTCAGTTGACTTCATGTTATTATTTAATTTTCAGTTTAATAGTGCAGACAGTGTGCTTTAGACTGTTTTTTGTTTTTTTGTTTTTTTTGTTTTGTTTTTTTTTTAAATAACGATCGTAACTGAATTGTCATATATCATATAGATTGAAATGTAGACTCCTCTTTCTTCAGTGTTTGAAGAAGAAAATTGTATCCCAGACCCACTCATGTTGCGGGATTTTGCAATTATGATTCTTCAAAGACAATGATGACACTTAAGTAATTTTAGGTAAATAAATACGTTTATTTGTTATGTATTTTTGTATAAAAGTAATTAATTTTCATCTAAATATTGTGATAAATGGTAATTCATCTTAGTTGTTTTCTATCAAGCAGCCTCACTGTCATCATCCCCAGATCTGCAAAAAAAAAAAAAAAATAAATAAATAAATAAATAAACGAAAACGTTATCACTATATAACATAATATTTATTCTTCGAACTGTTGAGAACTCTCAATTTAAATTTAAGTTTGTGCTTGACATCTGGGGTTTTAATAGTCATGACGTTTACCTAGCCTTGTATCGCATCCCTGCAAGAGCGGTTCCCCAAAGACACAATGTTGCAATGCTTATCATAAGAGACACTACCAAGATGTTGTCCAACCCAAGGGCTTCGTTTTGCTTGTTGAGCCACGAACCTGAGTTCATTGCAAAATTAAATCAAAATGCAAACAATTATTATTGGATAACAAGTAAGCCTGATAAATTGTGACAAATACGACACCATAATATAGCAACTTAAAACTTGTTCACTTATTAACATGAATCTTAGAAGCAGTTTTATGCTACTGTTTATGACGATGTTGTTGTTGATAATGATAATGACGATAGTGATGATGATAGGCCTATATTTATGAAGAAGATGACTTTATGGAGATGTATCCATACAGCATTCTAAGTGTTGCTGACATTGAATGAAACGACCGAAATACAGGTTAAGATATCAAAATTGTTGGTGTCATTAAACTTTTGATCATGATTTTAGTTAGTATAGGTTTAAAACACCGAAAAAACCCAATGGGATTGCTTTATATTGTTACGTTAATGTGTGCTGGCAATCACCTTTTTAACAATTACACATTTCCTCTTGTTTGGAACAATACCAAATCCCATTAACAAAAAGCAAGAGACTACCCATGAAGCAGGTTCGGCACGTTTTGCTAATCTAATTTGTTACTAAACCAAAATTTGATGCAAATTCTAATCATTCATTATCTAATCAAGACGATATATAGTTTATCTCTGATATTATATAATGATTGATTTGTAAGTACCTGTATAATTATTGTAAATGGTATAAGAAGATAAATCTAGGAGTGTACAAAAGATCGACTCATTCCGGTTGAGTGATTTTTTACACTGCAGATTCCTCTTCTTTACTGTTACTATTTTGGCATGTTCATAAAGCATTACCACAAGACTGTTTAGAGTTTATCCATTTACGTATAACGGATTATATATTTATGTTGCCCTATCTAAGTAATATGATCAAATACATTACCATAGGCATAACGATATAATATTATAGTAAAACTACTATTATACAAAATAGCAAAAAAAAAATGTTCTAATAACCATAGAGAATTAGTGCGACGGGTAATTGTTTAAGGCCTACCTGATTCCCCCATTGTGTGTCCAGTCGATCCAAAATGTAAGTACACTGTGTTTACAATAACTCGTTCATTTTCGTGTTCAAGCTCACATTCGTATTTGCCTCGGTCGTCGTGTTGCAACTCTATGATCTCTACATTGTTATTTTCGTCAATGGAGATCCTTTGAGATTGGTTCAACTTCCAGCCATCTTTCAGCCAACGACCGTTGAAATTTGGCTGATACATGAATACGGATTCGCTCTTGCACGCCAGATTTACGGTGTGGCCTTGCTCAACCCACTCCTCAATCACGAATTCTAGAAAATAAATGTATAAACGTGCCTACGAATGATCATAGGTTAATTTTCTGTATATTTTGCACTACAGGATATCTCAGGCTTAATCAGTTGGTCATAACTAGAGAAATCAAATGGCACCCACTAGCATACGAGAAAACATGAAAATATTATATAGACATTTGTTTACGGTATACTTTAATATTTCCACAGAAGAATTTTCGTCCCGCGATATCTGCCGCGACTGTTCTTAGAAGAGCAGAATATGACAGTTATAAAAACATTATAAGATAGTCTAATGCTTTACATCATCACTAGGAACCACATCTGTGGATGATAATGACGCTTTACGTCTTCTCTATTTTTTTTAAATAGCGTTACGCTGTGCGAATATGCATATCAGGTAATGCATATTTAATGGTTGAATAATAATAATAATAATAATAATAATAATAATAATAATAATAATAATAATAATAATAATAATAATATTAATAATAATAACAGTAATACAGTCTAGAACTTGTGGTCTCTACACAATAAAAAACCTCAGAGATTAACAGTTTCAAATACAGTAATTACATTTTTTATTTTGTAACCCCGAATACAAAACAAACACCCAAACCTTACGCTCACCCTAGAATGTAATGGTTACGCTAGTTTATAGTTTTTTTTAAAGTTTTAAAATCCTTGTCATGCCAAGAAGCCTTCTATTAAAGGTTGACACACTTCGTGCATTGACAGCTTATGACGGAAGAGATTTAAATCGTTTATAAATTAAATCCACTGGGAGAAGATATCCATCCGATATTTTAGTGATTTATTCTAATCTTGGCATGAATAACATCTTCCATGAATTCCCCCTTCTTTGTATTTTAAAGTTATTTTGAGACAGTTTGATCAAATTGAAAAGGATTTAAAGTTTACCAATAGAAGGTATTTAAAAAATAATACCATAGACCTATCAATAGGTCCATGGTAATACAATAGAATCCCTATTAAGGGGCACCTTCGGGACCAAATTGTCTGCTTAATAAGGGTGTCCCCAAAATAGGGGTACCCCTATTACGGGTACACTCACCAAAAAAAATGTCCCCTTAATAATAATAATAATAATAATAATAATAATAATAATAATGTTATATTTATATAGCACATATTGCACATTGCCCCTATGCGCTTTACAGAGAAATAATATAGGCCAACTGAGAAAAAGCAAATCACAATAAAATAAAAATAAAAAAATAAATAAATTTAAAAAAAAATAAATAATAGGGGTTTCCGGCATGTTTTCGTACATAGTCTTTATAATTATATTTTAAATGACCTAAGAATGAATTATAACTAATCTAAAAAATAATTTGCAATGGAAAAACAATTCATATATGTAATGAAGTGCAATTAAAACAATAAAAGTAATGTAACGACCAAATATTCTTTTCTTAAATATTTGGCTTGAACATGAATAGAATAGAGTAACGACTAAGGAATCAGGGTGCAGGCTGTGATTAGAATCATATATGAAAATTACACAAAACAAGAAATCGCCATGGTTATGGTCAAAATTGAAAAGATGTGTTTATATGTAACACATGCACTAGGCCTAAACCACTGTCCGTTCTACAGATTGAAAGAAATATATCTGTTTTGATGTTAAGTTTTTGGCTCGAAACATGTCAAAATATTAAGTTGAATGTTTTTTTTTTTAGCTTGAGACTACTATAGTTGCTTCGACAATATGTATTGATTTAAGATTTAACCAATTGGCACACTTAGAAAGTGTCACCCGTCCCCTTAATAGGGTTTGGTCGTAGTGTTAAAATAGCCTATATATTTCCTCTCATATTTCACGGAAATTTCCCCTTAACAGGGGCGTCCCCTGGATAGGGGTGTCCCATTAACATCGGTACTTACTGTTTGCCGCTGTTGTCTCAAATGATATAACTATAATTATCACTGTCAGTGTGTACCTCAAAATATACATTTCATGTACGAAAGAAAAATAAAGGATAGTTTGCACTATTCTTGTCTAGAAATCGGTCTACATTCTAACTCATGTGTATCATGGGTACGGCGTATCTGAATTACTATTCAATGTGTTTATCTTAGTTGCCCAGAAACGAATGCGTCGTTGCTAAAACGTGCGCGCATACTTCTTTGCGTACACGCGTGCGCAGTCGCATTGGCAAATTAGAACGATAGTGCCTTAACGCGATAAACAGTTGACACCAAGGCAAAAACATTCTTCGAATTACCTTGCTTTGATTGACACTATAGAAATTCAGTTGTTAACTCACAAAAAAAAACAACTAAGTTTTGGCAAAATAAAGTCTAGGCTACTGAAAAATGAGGAGGATTATTATAGAATGCATGTTCCTGTCTTTTTTACTTTGTTTCTACTGGTCTACAGTCAGCTGTAAAAAGCGTGAGTTCAAATTTTAAACGGATTATTTTACAAGCCTATTTATTTACTTATGAAAATACAATCAGTAGGGCCTATACCTCACTAAGCTTAGGGTAGCCTTGGTTTAGGCTAGACCTGATAACAATAAAATTATTGTTACATTTAGAAAATAATTATAACATTTCGAGATCGTTTTGATTTTGTTTTTCAAAGTCAAAGCATTACGAAATTTCATAAGTTAGTTTGTTCCCTAGGCTATATAATGTCATATCTTCTTTAAAAAACTAAACTAAAGAAAAAATGTTTATTCTATATTTTACTTAGGCTAAGCCCACCTCTAATATTCGTTTGTTGCTTTGTTTTAGCATGAAATAATATTGAAATTGACTGTGTTTATATCAACAGTCAATCAAAGTATGTGATTATAGATAAATTCTTTTTCCAGTTGGTAAAAAATATCCATCTTGGGTGAAAGAACTCCGAAGTGATGCAATGCAGCAAATGAAGACCTACATATATGACTTCATAAACCATAACGTCGGCGATGTTATTAATGACATCAAGAGTAATAAGTTATCACCGTCTGAGATTCCTGCTGAGCTCAGTCGATATGGCATATACATCAATAGACCTGGCGAAGAAATAGCTGAAACTGTACGCAATATATTCAATGAAGACTCGAACAATCTCGAAGTGGAATCTACGCATACTAATGGAAGGGATGATGAACATTTGGCAGAGAAATCTGACACTGAACACACACGAGATCACGATGTATTTGGCAACAGTAAACGATTCAAGGAATTGGGAGACCAATTTGAGAATATAGTGAAGAGAAAGGGGCTTGGTAACACCAATTCAGTTGGTATACAGACTGATTTTCTGGCAGGAGATAGACCGGGCGAACAAATAGGTCTCTTAAGCGAAGACTCGAATGGCACAGGAGAAACTGCACATGCTACTACTGCAGAAAAAGATAAACACTTGGTAGAGAAAAATTACGCTAAACACAGGCGTGATCACGATATAGTTGACATCAGTGACCGACTCCAGGAATTGGAAGAAGAATTTGAAGATATAATGAAAAGGGAAATGTTTGGTGATAGTGATTCATTTGGTAAGGCTGATCTTCTGGCAGCAGTGAAAAGGGTGGCAATGCAGAACGGAGATGAAAACAATGCAGTCGACACAGGACAACGAAAAGAACTTTTCGATACTGTTTACAACTTGATGGATAGAGTTAAAGTTGATAATAGTATTGGCAATGGTGCTGTAAATCCTAATGCTGGCGGTGAAGTTGAGGATCATAGTAATGACAATAACGTTGAGGATTACAATGACGATAGTGATGATGTGGATTATTATGATCATCTTGGTCGACACAGAAATAAATTTGAAAACAGAGAAAACCGTAAAAAGGAAGTGACACATAATTCAAACAACCATGATGAGACGAAGAAGATGGTCAGCAAAGAAGAGATTGAAAGTTACATTGATGAGGTGATGGAAGAAAATACAGACGATCATGGAAATAATACGAAAACGAGTAATGTAACTGAAGAAGAAAAGGCATCTGTGAAAACGGAGAAAGATAAACTACGAAGTACAGACAATAATGACAAGAGGAAAAATGATAATGAAAAGAAAGAAAATGAAAAGAACAAGGAAAATGAGAAAAAGATGGATAAACCAGACGGTCAAGATGAAACAACAGCACAACGCGTTAATGAAGGAAAAGAAAATGAGGACGATGGAATTAAAAAAGAAAAGAATAGAGGTGACAATGCTGATAATAACGACGATGACGATGAAGATATATTGAATAATGATGATGAATTGAATGACAACATTAATTTTGATGAGGGGAAGGACGAGGAAGATGGAAAGCAAGATGAGGGGAAAGAGGATTTGCCGGAGAAGAAGGACATGGAGGAAGAGGAGGAGAAAGATAAAAGTTATAAGGATGAAAACGATGATGATCTAAACAGGTCTTCGCACGATAATGAACGTGATGAGCATATCGAAATATACGAGAATACTTCAAAAGACCCCAGTTCTAATGTCGATAATAATGGTGATAAAAACGATAACAGTATCAGCATTACCAATGATGTGGAAAAATCAGTTGACGAAAAGAAGCAAGAAAAGAAAATTAAGGGAATAATTGATAGGATAAAAAATGTTTTTAACCGCCGAAGAAGACGGAGAAATGTTGGCGGGGCTGATTGCTACATTGGCGAAAAAGAAGTACGTCCAATACTTAATGCTGTTGCATATGATGGAGAGGGCGTGCTTCTTCCATGTGATCAGTGGTAAGAAGCTTCCATGACATGTGATTTGTTTTAGTCATTATTTTATTATTGTACTCGTTAAAAAAGAATATTAAACATATACATATTTCAAAGGGTATTAGAGTGAGCTTAATCTTACTACTTATTAATCATACAGACAAAATATTTTTGTCTTATTTCCTTTTATAAATGTTAAACATTGTTCAGGATGAACATGTTTTCTATGTTGAAAAAATAAAGGATTTAATCAAGAAATATAAAACAATATGTTTCGTTTCATCGTTGAAATATGTTT